TCCTCCCCTCTCACACATCTTTTCTTTTTGTATCCTATTTTCTATCCACTTGCAACAATCGGGGTAACAAATATAACGCCTCCTACAACTGCTTACTACCCAGCACCCGCTTGTCCTCCGTTTTGGTGATTGGCCCCTCTTTTTGGGGGAGGAGGAGTATGATTTGGGGGCGCCCCGGGGTGGGGGCGGGTATTATAGTAGTAGTGAGGGGGAGGAGGAGGAGGAGGGTTACGGCAGTGATATGGGCAGTGATATTGATTTGGAGGCGTGGCCGCGCGGGATCATCAAGACGGTTAGTGTTGAGGTTGTGGAGGAGGTTAATGAGGAGTATGTTGCTGCTGTCGCTGCTGCTGCGGCGGCGGCGGCGGCTGCTAAGAAAGGGGAGGGTAATGCTAATGTTGGGGGGGATAAGGCGGTCGGAGGGAGCAGTGGGAAGGGGGTGGGGAGGAATAGTACGATGGTCACGCCTGGCGTAATGGGCGTGAGGCAGCCGAGGGGGGGTGTGGCAGCAGGGGGTGAGAGTGTGGATCGGGTGAGTGGCGGAAGTGTGATTGAGCAGGACTGGGAGGCTATGCTGAGGGCTGGGCCGCCCAGATAATGGTTCTTTTGTTGTGTTTTTCTTTTAGTTGTTGCTTCTCTTTGCTGTTTTGGCGCGTCGGAACAGGCGGGTTGGCGCTTCATCCCTTTCTCAGGCCGTTCATTCTTTTAGATAGGTTGGCTGCTTTGTTGTTTGGTCGTTTAGCGAGGCGTTGGCGGAGGGTGTCACCATCCGGCGTATTGAAGAATGGGCGAGGGAAAAGCGAGGTATTTTCATTCGTTTTGGATGCTTTCGTCTTGTATCAGGAACTGAGATAAATACCCATATGCGATTATTATATCGTTCCGTCCTTTCGTGGCATTCTATTCTACTACTAGTTGCTTGCGGCTATGAAAGGCATAGTTTTGCCGTTCGGAACTAACATATGTGCGACGTGAACAGAGTGAGTGGTCAAGAGCACAACAATATAACCAAATAATAAGCTGTATCCCAATGGTCATCTCATCGGATCGATTGTGCCCCATCTATCACGCTGTCATCTACGGTACATCATTGTGAGGATATCTCACTATCATACAAATTGCCCCACCCCAGGGGTCATTCCCAATGCGTATCAACCAGCCTCCTATATACATACCCCTACCCAGTCGTGTCAACCCGCCCAGCCATGCTCCGCTTATCGCCCCTCTATTTATTGACAAGGTTACTCAAAAAATCAATCATGAACTGCTCTTCGGCCTCATTCAAGCTCCAGCGCGCCTTGAGCGCATCATACACGGCCAGCGTCCTCTGCCTGGTCGAGCACCGCGCGAAGGCCCGCAAGGCCCACATGGCCAGCCACGTCTTGATCTCGAGCCCCGCGGCGCCCGAGTCGACGGCGTCGAGCAGGGCGTTCCAGATGCCGGTCAGGCGGCGCTCGCTCCAGGCGGAGCGCTGGTAGCCGCCGTGGTGGGCGAAGCCCTTGAACAGCGCCAGGAAGATGGCGTGGTGCAGCGGGATCTTGAAGAACTTCATCTCGTCGATGAAGGCGGCCGCCTTGGCGAGGTCGCCGCACTTCACGCCGTAGTGGTTGACCAAGATGCGGTAGGTCTGCAGGTCCGGGGAGAGGAGGGTCATGCCCTGCAGAGCGGCGCGGGAAGAGGGGCTGCGCCGGCCGATCTTGGCGAACATGACGAGGGCTTGGGTGATGGCGCGGTCGGATGGGACTGTACGCACAGGGATGTTGCTGCCGTCGGTCTCTTTCTCTAGGGTGGCCGCCTTCATGCGCTCGTAGAGCTGCTCGGCGGGGCCTTCCTCCCCCGACCGCAGCAGGCCCCCGATCATGGCGTTGAGAACAACGGTGTCGATCATCTCGCCGGCGTTGACCATCTCCCGGTAGGCGGCGCGCATGCCGCTGGTCTCGTTCTTGAGGCCGAAGAAGTGGATGAGACTGGTGTAGTGGTAGCGGTTGTAGTAGTGACCCCGGGACTCCATCTCGCGGTAAATCATCTCGGCCAGAGTAAAATTACCAGCCTTGCAGGCGACGTCAAAGAGGATATTGAAGGTCACGTTGGTGGCCTTGATGCCGGCGTCGACCTCCATCTCGCGCCAAAGCTTGAGGGCAGCCTCGACCTCGGTTTCGGTCACGGTGCCCACGTATTTGCTAGCAAACGCAATGGCACAGTTCCACTCGGCACTTGTCAGGGGAATACCCGTGTTCTTGACGTCGGCAATGATTTCAAAGTACCGTAGCATGGATGCCATGTCCCGCTCGTCGGGCTGGCCGAGAGTGCGCAGCAGCTGGTGACGGAACCCGGGCGTGGAGGTACAGCATACGGGGCTCGGGAAGGCGCTGGTAGACTTCGTAGATGTGATCGAGGTCGGCCTTGTGCGGGCTCCTGAGGCGGCTAAGTACGGCAAAGCGGGATGCTCCCCAGAGAGGTCGTTTCGCATCCGACCTCGTCCGGCGCCTCGAATCACCTTGGCTCGAGGACTTGGAAAATTTCAAAGTCCTCGCTGGTGCGCGCCAACACGTGAAACTTCTGTGTGTCTGGTTGGGACATAAGCCGACGCATGTATGGGTCCGCGAAAGGTACTGAATGTAGTCATCGACGGTGCCAATCTCTTCGGCATCGTAGGGGGTCGATAAAGGGCGAGCAGCTCCTTCTTAGGGGAAGCTACGCCGTGGCCGTGACTGGGGCGGAGGGTGGATTGGGGGTGGTGGGTTCATCTGGGGGGATGTCGTCGTCGAATTCTGGACCGGTAAAGGGTTCGAGAGGGGGTTCGCTGACTGCAGCGGTATGGTTTACCCTAGAGGCGGGTATGGAGGGCCCGGAAGGGCTACCAAGGCGGGTACGGGAGACTCGGAGGACCGGGAGGGTCAACAGCGGGCGACGTCGTGGTACGGAAGATCTGGACCGGGGAGCCGTGGTGCCGATGGTACGTCTTGGGGTACAGCCGCTATGGAAGCCTTGCGCAGGCCCTCCGCCGGGGCTATGAGCAAAGACGGGAAGGGATGTGGCGGCGGCAGACCGGTTCGACGACAGCGACGGACGGTGCAGAAAGAGGATCGCGCCGCATATCGACCCGTCTATTCGGCTGGAGATTCTCATGAGCTGTCGTCCAACATTGTGGCCTGCCGTTAGCCCAGCCTCTCGCCCCGGGTTTTGCAGCCGGGATTCGCCGTTCGGGGGGAGGGGGCGTGAGCGATGCGAGGGAGGGCGTTGGTGTCGTCGGTTCGGGCCGCTTTTTTGATACGGCGAGAAAAAGTCAAGTTGGCGGGGAGCCTATCGCCGCAACTACGGGGCGCCGAGCACCCGCGCCGCAGGGTTTCAGTGGGCGAGGGACCCAGGCTTGGGCAGCCATTCAAGCTCAAGTCGAATTTCCGCGAACCAATTGAACCAATGGGAGACACGGGACAATTTTTGGCCGGGTTCAGCTTCGCCGCACCCCACTAGATGCGGCTTAAGCTGGGAAATTTTGGGCCCTGGCAGGCAGTGGAAGAAGCCGCAGAGCTCCACATCTATCAACGATCTGAAAGTCACTTCGAACGGCGGCGTGGCTCTCGGAGAAGAGGCAACGAACGGGATAACGAGGCCACGAGCACATACTGTGTACGGTGCCATTGGAAACGATCTACGATTTCTAGTCGACTCAACCGGGGGCCCATCAACGAAGTTTGTCGAACCACCCCCTCGAACAACCCCCCTCCCCACCTCGAATTTCGACAAACACCCCGAACTCGAAGCCGAAGCCGAAACCAAAGCCCCCAACATGGTCCGCGGCCGCCAATTCCTCGCGGCGCGCGTCTACGACACCGCCCGAGCCGGCATGAGCAGCACCATTATCCAAAATACGCGCCCCAACGTCCCGATGTGGTTAAAAGCGCTGGATCACATCCCGCCGGCCGAGGTGCTCACACGGCCGTACCCGATCCAGCACACGGAGCCCAAGGACCGCGGGCGGGCGGCGCAGCGGCCACGAAACCTGTTCCGGCCGACCAAAATCGTGCACCCGGAGGACCAGCTGCGGCAGGAATTCTACCGCGACCATCCGTGGGAGCTGGCGCGGCCCAAGCTGGTGCTCGAGCTGGACGGGCAGGACGCAAGGCGTCGTGACTGGAGCAAGGGGCTGCGCCAGCCGGGGATGGCGTTGAGTGGTGAGAAGGGTAGGGTTGCTCACGGTTCACGGTTTTTGTGATATACTTCAGCAAAGGGAGTACTAACCACCTCATAGTGTGGTGCAACGCCAGCTCTGGTATATGGAGGTCCGGGGCCTTTCCAAGGCAAGGGCGTACGATGTTGCACGCAAGGAATTTTACAAGCTGCGGCAACAAGAGGAAATTGAGCGCAGGGTAGCGGTGGAGGAGGCTCGCATGTACGGTGCCTACTTCGGCAAGAACAACCTCCAGGTCGGCATGGAGCTCGAGGACGCCGCATACGAGCAGTGGAAGAAGTGGGCCACCATCGAGATTAGCAAGCTCGAGGCCGAGCGTACCGCTGCTTACGCCAACGTTGTTGATACGGTGACGGAACCGGCCGAAGACGATGAGGAAGAGCTGTTGTAAGAGAGCGGGAGCTGAGGTCTGGGTCGGGTTCAAGAGCTGCCTGGGCTGGCAGGCTGCTCGTGTACACTTGTATAAAAACATTTACGGAAAATAGACGCATGTACACATCTCCGGGGACCCTTGGGTGGGTTTGGGGTAATTACCTTTTGGTTGCCAGATCGTAATACATTCACAGTGTGGTGTGCTGTCACTCCCATCCTGGCACCCCCCTGTGCCAGTTCTTCGTCTTTCTATCCGTATAGATGTTTGGGGATCTTGAAGAGAAAAAAGTACCATGACGATAAAAGGGCTTCAGACGTCCCTTCGGAGCCCAAATATAACCATTAGTTGAGTAACTAATGCGCTTGGACTCGGGGTCTTGGGTCACGATGGCGAGTGTCAGGGGGGTGGGGTGTGCGGTATCACTTTTGGCAGTCACATAACCGAGGCATGCAGGCGTGCAAATCTAGGTTTTGCGCTCTACGGTGCAGGCTCTAACTAGATATACAGAGGGCTTCTTCCAAGCTTCAGATCCCATCCCCCCATGAGTCGGTTTTCATGGGTCAAAATCCACCCGATATGTGCAGAACCATGACCAGGCAACCCGAGCCATCAAATGCCATAGGCGAGCCTCCGCAGTGCAAACCACAACCCAACAGACCACCCCAGTAGCCTATCTAGCATGCCTTCTTACACATCCGCTTGCACCCCCTGCTGCGTCGGCTCTCGCACCTCCTGCTGCCGTGCACCCCCCCCCTCTCGCGGCGGATCCCGCAAGCCCAAGCGATCCAGCACCGACACCATCGGCGGCCATGACACCTCAGGCTGCTAGCCCGGCGGGGCGAGGCGAGCCGCAACCTGGCCGACATAGACGGCACCGGGGGTCCTCCGGGCCAGCTCCTCGTGCTGCACGCAGAACATGTCGGCGACGCCCGACCACAGGAACAGGCGGGCCGGTGAGGCTGAGCGAGCGGCAGCGGGCCCACGACTCGACGTACACCATCTTAAGGCGGTCCCGCGGGACGAGGTAGAAGAGCTTGAGGAGGTGGGCCACCAGGCACACGATGAAGCCGGTGGCCGGGCCGTTGGTGATGATGACGTGCGGGTACTTGAACGGGTTGCCCGGGTGGCGCTCGGCGTAGCGCACGTCCGGCTCGCGCGTCAGGGCGTTGATGGCGTGGATGGCGGTCTGGAGGCAGGTGAAGGGGGCGGTCCAGAAGGGCTGGTGCACGCGCCGGGCGCGCGGGACTGGAAGTTTTGATCGTGCTGTTGTGGTCGTCTGGGAAGCAGCGCTGATGAGGCATTCCAGTTTGATGACGCGGTTGAGCGAGTCCTTGTCGCCGGTGGTGACGAGGTAGTTGTGGTGTTCTTTGGTTTGGGTGACGAACTTGCGCTTGATGGTCTCGAGCATCTCCGAGGTGTGCCCGCCCGAGCCGAGGATGTAGAGAAAGTAGACCGCCGGGAGCCCGGTTGTGTTGGGCGTCGACGGGTCTCGCCGGCTGATCCATCGCCGGCCTGTTTCCTGACGGGGCCCCTGGCGCCGGAGGGAGATGTGCCGCCACTGGGGTCGTCAGTATTTGTTGGGGAGGATCTAAAGATGGAACTTACAATAACGAAGGTGACCAAGCCGGTAATTATTGTGGTGATCGAGGACCAAGGGAGGAGGAACAAGCCAGCGATCGAGATCATGCCGATGCAGACGAGCCCCAGGTAGACAAAAAAGGCGAAACGGTCGGGACCAAAGTCCTCGATCATATCACGAATAAACTTCTCCATCTCGGCCTCGGGATTTGCATTTTTTATGGGGGACTGTAGAGCTGAGCTCTCCTTTGTAGCGCCGATAATGGCTGGCCTGGTCTTGTCGTCGGGTTTGTGTTGGAAGGTTTGCAAACCCGTCAATTCTTAGCCATCTGCATTTCTTTTCTCCTTGGCACATGGCATGGCTGCCTGTGCCTGTGCCTATAGTGCCTGTGCTGTTATGCGGGTCCATTGTGAGTTTCGCGATCTGTGATATCGAGGCCTGAGAGGCAATCATGTGAGTCCGTCCATTCAGTACCTATTCAACCGGATATTGATGGGGATTCATCCCTCCGCTCGCTGACCGCAACCCCAATCTCGGACCTCCTGTTGTTGATTCCAGCACAGCTCTGATCCATCACCTCCGAATCATAGTGTGACACTGCCTCGCCAAACGGTGGCGCGGCCCTCATGATGCGAGCCTGCGGACTTCCTGCGCCGCTGCCGCTGGAGACGTTCTCCATCTCGACGTGTTCCACTCGGCTGGTAGTGAGAAACGACCCTGTCGCCTTGGCCGCGCTCGGCTCCACCCCGATGTCGGGTTGTGGGTGTTGGAGATTCAGAGGGACACCGCATCGTTCCTGTTGTTGGTTGGTGTAGACGATCTTGGAGGACAACATGTCGATGCTAAGTCGGGAATTAGCTGCAGGCCATGCGGTTGGAGGGCGGCAGGGGTGGAGCGAGGGGGGGCGAGAGGGGTA